TGTGAGTTTTCATTGAAAATGTTCATAGAACTTCATGGAGATATTACATATTTAAAAGTTGTCACTGACTTTACATAGAAATGTTACGAGAGAAAAAGAAATATGTAGTTCTAGCTATAAACTACAGTTCAAAGGAGAAATAATGACTAAAATGAGTAATAGAGTTAAATTGAGGACTCCTCTAAATCCTTTATTTACATAAAAAGGTGGGTTTTTTTGTAAACCAAATAAAGAGTTAAATATTGGTAGGTTTGATGGTTATATACACACATATATTATAAAAACTAGGAATTTTTAATATCTACAGAGGGAAATAAGTTCACTTATACATGATTTGGTAGCTAGAAAGTTATAATGCCACTTTTAAAGATGTGTTTACTATTGCTCACAAACATATTTGTGTTTCTATTTGGTGATATAAGTTTCAGGATAGCATAGCAACTAAGAACATGGGTTCTGGATTCATATTTCCTATATATAAATTACAGTTACTGAGCAAATTATTTAACTATAGTGCACCTCAGTGTCCTAATCTGTAAAACTGTACCTAGCAAATAGGATTGTTAGGAGAATTAAATGAACTTATACGTACAATGAGGTTCGGGAGTTCTTAGGACATAGTAAGCATCCATATGTTAATTTTTATATTACCATTATTATAAAATATATAATGAAATAAAATTGCCTTGGTAAGCTTTTCTCAATCTTAAAATGTGCCTCATTCATTACACTACTTATACTCTTGAATTGATGTCTGATATTAATTGCTATTATAGGCTCTTAGTTGATATATGGCACTGTTAACTAAGATTTACCAGTAAGCAACAGTTTTCTCAGTATTGTTTGACGTGCACTGTACTTGGTGAATGTGTAAGGGAATAAAACAGAGGCAGGACAGAGACCCTGTCTAGGAAAAATATGCGATAAGGCTCGAAATGTGCAGAGTTGGGTGAACGTATCTGAGAGAAGGATAAAGAAAACCCTGAAATTGACACTGAATAAACATAAAGAAAAACAAAGACATTTCAAAGATGGAAGTTATCAATAGATTTCAAATAAGGGACAATGGACCAATATTCTGGTTTGGGGCTGTTTCCTCCATCTTTGAATACTGGGTGAAGCACTGTGTCAGCTCCCAAAATGGGAAAGGAAAAGACATATAAAGGCCACCTGTCCATCCGGGCTCTCAGAGCCAATGCTGTGGCATCTATTGATTATCCAGAAATCTCAGAGTTGTCCTGGACAGTTCTCTACCATCTTCAGGCCCAGAGGTTCAGAGACAGTCATGCAGCTAGAGCTTATCAAGAAGAGTTTAGACCAGTTTATTTTTCTTGGGGCCCTTAAAGAGTTCCTAGCCATAACAAAACCCCATTCCTCATGTCTAAGGTATGAATAGAAAGGAATGGTGCAGTCTAAAATCACTATGCCTCCCAAGTAAATAAATTCCTAGTTTAGAAATCTGTAGATCAAGAATACTTCATTTGATTTGCCTTATACATAGTAGAAATGAACAAAAACCAATGATTTAAGCCTAACTAAGATAATATATTTTACATAATTATTAGGTGTTAACCAGTAAGAAATTCTGTAACTGCTCTTTAACCCCCAACTTCCTCTTTGTGTGATTACTGCTTCTTCTCAACTGAGTTGTGTTTCTTTCATCAAAGATCAGCTTATAAAACTGTGTACTATCAACCTAATTTAAATCTATTACATGATGAAAAGTAAATATTTTGACAAAGGTATTTCACAATTTAAAAAAAGAGAATGTATGTAATTTCTTGAAAATTACCAGATCATTTAAAAATGAACATATCATAGTATAATCTTCCAGTAATCTTTAGCATTTGTAAATGACTGCTAGGCTAAGAGATTAAGTTGTTAATCAGTATATTAATGAATGAGGTTATACTTCTCTGAATAATCAAGATGAAACCACTTTTTAAGGTTTTATACTTTGATTGGCACAAATTAGGTTTTGGTCTCCTTATGTTCAATGAACACGTTATAAGTACTATGAACAAAGGAAGGTAAAAAATAAGCTTATGAAACTTTTCTTTGATAAAAATAATTGAGCATGAAAATTCAAATACTATGTCACTATACTACAAAAGCAGTAAAATTATAAACAAAAATACAGACATCAAAGTAGTTGTAGGAGATATCTTAAGAATAATATGTATGCAAGGTGAATGTATTAACATTTTTTCAAATGGTTTAACTTAGCCCTTAGATTTCCAATGCCCACTGAATGTCATTATTTAAAAAAGTAAATAGCCTGGCTGGCATGGCCCAGTGATTGAGTGTCAACCTATGAACTAGGAGGTCATGGTTCCATTTCCAGTCAGGGCACATGCCTGGGTTGCAGGCTCAATCCCCAGTGAGGGGCATGCAGGAGGCAGCTGATCAATGGTTCTTCTCATCACTGATATTTCTCTCTCTCCCTCTCCCTTCCTTTCTAAAATCAATAAATTATATTTTAAAACTAAATAAATCAAACAAAACTTTGGAAACTTACTCCAAATTAAGAGGCTAAGAAAATGCCATAGTTTTTTGTAGTTAACATTTAATTATCAATAATATTATGAAAAATATTTTACAAATAAAAATTTGGCACTCTATTAGTAATAAGTATAAGAAAATAGCAAATCCATACCTTGCAAAAACATACTTCATATCTATCTAATATTCTTTATATATGTGATATGATCATAAATTAAAGGCATAACAAGTCTTCCTTATTCAAGGGTAAGTACCTTCAAAATGTCAATGTATAAAACGCATTCTTCTTTATTGTCAGATTGGGTAATAAGGGTGGGCAGATAAATACATGGCATTATATAACTGTAGTCATTTTGAGGACTGTATTCATTGAAATTGTTAACTAAATCACATGACACTACCTTTATTTATAGATCTGCATGTATAGTAAGGTTTCTAAGGGTAGATTTTTACCTACTGTAATTAACAAAGACCTCAGAACTTTGCACAACTATATTCATGACTTATAACACCTTTTAAGAGGGTTAAACTATTCAATATATTGCCATTAATATTGTAAAAGTGAAACAAAAAACAAAGAAAGTTGATGAATTGCTTGATATGTCAAAATTAAAACTAACAAATCAGATACAAGAATCATGTCCTTTTCATTTTATATAATTTCTCCCTGAAGATAACTGTAAATACACATCTGAACATATATATGTGA